TCCTTTCCTACCCCCCCTTTCCCACCTTTGTTGGGCCACGAATTTAAAAGGGCACAAGGTGTTTCAATTTTGTAGGTTAAGGGATTTAAAAATCACTAGGTGAGAATGTTCAGTAGCATGGGTTTAGTTTTTTTTAATCCTATGTGAAAGTGATGACTTGAATACTTTTAGCTGTGTTATTGTTATTATTATTATTTTTTCATGCATCTGCCTTTTCTATTTGTGGTCTTTATCTTTTCTGTAGTACTCTCAAGAAAGAGTGAAGTGAACAGGAGGAGAAAATAAAACCATAATAGTTTAGAGTAAGGCTGATGCCTACAAAATTTGTCATATTTCACTCAGAGTGGCTGCCCTTCCTTTAGCCTGTGAAATTGGGAATTGACTCTCACAGTTATTGAGCATTTGTGATATGTAAGTTTGACATGGGACCCAAAGATGACTAAGACATGGGCCTGTGGGGTGACAGGCATCTGACAGGCCACTGTGATAAATGCTAAAATAAGGGCATAAGCAAAGGACAATGTGAGATCTAATTTAGGCTCTGATATGTGCTGCTTCATCTTGGTTAATCCCATAACTGTGCATGGTATGCACCTCTGCTCCCAACCTGACTCCATACTTGGGTTGCCAGGACTTATGGGGTGTGTGCCCAGTTGATACATCCTGGTGTTTGGAGTCATCAGAAAAGTAGTGTCACAATCCTAGACAGACTGATGGAGGGTGATGAAACACACTGAGCACTTGTGCGCTTGGCTGGCAAAGTCCTCTGTGTTCAGAGCATCAAGTCTCTGTACCACAGATAGCACAAGTCAATGTTGAGCCAGTCAAAGTATAGGCAGAGGTCACAGACAGGCCAAGGGCCCCAGGAGCGCTGGTGTGATTTTGACATGTCTCTGAATGATATAGTCCTGATAAGAGATTTAGGGGATCTGAGAGGGACAGATTAGCTAAACGTCAATGTTGAGCCAGTCAAAGTATAGGCAGAGGTCACAGACAGGCCAAGGGCCCCAGGAGCACTGGTGTGATTTTGACATGTCTCTGAATGATATAGTCCTGATAAGAGATTTAGGGGATCTGAGAGGGACAGATTAGCTAAACAGCGAAGAGTCATGTTTATTTTCTGCACAAAAAAATTCCTCTGCCGCTCTTTTACTTTGTAAAACACACTTTTTGAAATGCATCACAAGTCTCCCTTCCAGTTAAATCCCTGTTGCTTAATATTTTTTCTATGCCTTTATTGAATCAGCCAACTAAAAGGTGAACCTAGGGAAATATTATCTCTGTGGTTAGATAATTCTCTTTTGTCTGTAGCCCTATTCTACTGTGTCTTTTATTTAAAAACTGTAATTTATTGAGCTTCAGGTATGATTATGAATAAAATCTCTTTAAGAAGCTCTATTATGGCCCCTTCCTCTTCTAGGTTTAAGGACTTTTCCTCATTGTTAACACAAAAATGAAGATAAATCGTTTTTTACCCCCTTCAAGTAACTGTATTATACTGAGCATTAAACTTTAGCGGAGAATATCGAGCCACCCTTTTACCCTAGGTTTTGTTCCCTGAGAGCAGAAGTTCTGGAGCCACAGCATAGAAGATTAAGACAAGAAAAGAGAAGGGTAATTGCTTCTTTTTATCAGCTGTGCTTTCACCACTTCAGCCATGGGACAGATTCATGTCCTCAGACCCTGGACCTGGTCTGACTGAGATGTTAGCAACTTTTATTTTATCCTGTTGTATGTAGTACAAGGGACCATTTGGTTTTTAAAAGCCTCCAGCTTCACTGTTTGGGTGCCTGACTGTTTTCCAGGATTTCTTATGCAGTTAGGCTTTAATCAGTTAGTAATTTTGATTGTAATTGTAATGCATAAAATTAATTATGTAATTTTAGTGACTCAAGATGAATCCCACTATAATTGCATTATGATACTAGGGCATTTTGAATGATTACAAATGAAAAGTCCACAAGCATGAATAAGGGCCTGCATTTGACCCATGAGTGAGTCATAAACAATACAAATACTTGGAGGCCATGGTTTTGCCATTTTGGCGTTGTTCCCTGTGTGGGTTGTGTGGGTTGCTGGCACTGTTGGAGATGGGCAGAGTGTGTGGCCTCCACAGGTCCTACACTTTGCCCTGCCACAGCAGGCCCCACACGTGGAAGATTCTGAGTCATGTGATCTGCTGTTAAGTAGCCCATGTGATGAATTTCTCTTCTGCCTTGTATCTCACGCCCCCCAGCCCCTGCCCCTTCGCCCTCCTAGATACTCAAAAAGGACAAAATGCTAAGGTGAAACTTCTGTCGTTACACCTATACAGAGAGAATTCATGTTGCCTAACATTTTCCTCTAATTTTACTTCTGGAGTTCTTTCTGCGAGGCGTTTGACTAACCACACTGATATCCTGTACACACTGGATATGTTGACATTAATAAAATCTTTTACATTCACAGAAAATGTGGGATAATATTTTGTGACAGAAACTTGAGCAATACCATTTTTCTATATTTTGTCTTGGGCAAGCTATTTTTGATAGT